ACAGGCTGAGCCACTGAGCCCGGCTTTTTTTTCTTTTTTTTGAGTTGAAGTCTTACTCTTGTCACCCAGGCTAGAGTGCAGGGGTATGCTCACAGTCACTGCAGCCTTGACCTGTTGGGCTCAGGTGATCCTTCCGTCTTAGCCTCCAAGTACCTGGAACAGACACACACCAGCATGCCCAGTTAGTTTTTTTTGTGCTTTATTGTAGAGATGAGGGCTCATCAAGTTGCCCAGGCTGGTCTCAAACCCCTGAGTTCAGGCAATCCTTTCACCTCGGCCTCCTGAAGTGCTGGCATTACAGGCTGAGCCACCGCCAGTTCTTAACCACCTTTCTGTATGACCTCTAAATTTGATCTGCTCTACAGTTTTGCTGTGGCTTATCCTTTTTGCCAATGGTAAATGCTATCATTCAAAATGCATTTACTGAGCATCCGTTGTGTATAGGCACTGGGCATTCAGAGGCAAAATGCGGGACCTGCTGGAAGGAAAGAGAAGTAGGTATGCAGATGGCAATGGCAGCTATGACCTACAGGCTTTGAAGTCCTTCACTATTTGCGTCACGAACATCTTGAGCACCCACTTTGTGCTAAATATTGGGTTGGGAGGCAGGAAGGAAAGATTGACACCAACTTTCATCGTTTAAAGAGGAGCATATTTTCACATATTAATATTTCTGAATGTGCATGTGTTTTACGATCATTACTAGTTTATTTATTTATTTTATTTTTTGAGTTGGGAGCCTCACTCTGTCATCCAGGCTGGAGTGCAGTGGCACACTCACAGCTACCCCAGTGTGGACCTGCTGGGCTCCAGCAATCCTTCCACCTCAGCCTTTCTTTTTTTTTTTTTTGAGCTGGAGTCTCACTCTGTTGCCCAGACTGAAGTGCAGTGGCTGCTCCCGGCCACAGCAGCCTCGACCTGCTGGGCTCCGGCGATCCTTCCACCTCAGCCTTCCAAGTAGCCGGAATTACAGGCATGCGCTACCACGCCCGGCTGATTTTTTAAAATTTATTGTAGAGATGAGGTCTCGCTGCCCAGCGGGTCACGAACCTGCGGGCTCAGGCAATCCACTCACCTCAGCCTCCCAAAGGTGCGGGATTACAGGCTGAGCCACCGAGCCTGGCCCACCTCAGCCTTTCAAGTAGCCGAAACTACAGGCACACGCTACCACACCCGGCTAATTTTTTGATTTATTGTAGAGACGAGGTCTTACCATATTGCCCAGGATGGTCTCAAACCTGCAGGCTCAGATAATCCTCTTGCCTCGGATTCTCAAAGTGCTGGGATGACAGGCTTGAGCCACCGTGCCCAGCCCATTACTAGTTTAAATGGTACATTTTTTTTTCTTTTTTAGTGGCACTTAATGATGCTTTCTACAATGGGCAGAACCTTGGATTCAATAAAACATGTTTTTTTGGTCTGCGAATCACGGTTCTTGCTCACAAGATGCTTACTATTTACGATCCTGCAATGTATTGATTTCTCTGTTTGTAACCACAGAATATCCTTCATCAGCTCGCCATCCTCCTCTTGACCTGAAATATGTGTTTATGCATGTAAGACTGTCTATCTTCCCTCTCTACTGTGTCCATCATTCTTCAGCAAATGAAAGGTCTCATCTCTGTCTTCAGCCTCAACTTCTTTCCTGGGATCTGATTCACTTCAGCACACTACTTTGTTGTTGTGATGTCACCTTGAACTCCATACAGCGCACCATCTTTCCCTCCAAGTCAGTTTCTTCTCCAGGCTTCCCAGGATCCATCCATTCTTCTAGTAATTTAGACCGAAACCTTGGGAGCCGACCTTGGTTCTTTCTTCTCCTCTGTTTCACTTCTAGACATCTATTTTGTTACTCAGACATGCACACTTTCTCTCTTGCATTGATCCCCTCCTTTCCCATTTGACTATCACCATCTCAGCTTGGGCCTTTGTCTAACCTTGCATGGACTACCAGAGTGATTTCTCTCTCTCCCTCTGACTCATTAGACTCATGCTTACCACTTTAAATTCTAACACTGTACTGTACACTTGACTCCCTGCCAAATGTCGTTTGATGGTTCCTTACTCATCACAGAACACATTCCAAATACCACAGTCTGATATTCAAGGCTCTCCACAATGACCACGCTTTCCCAGTTTCAGCCACCACCACCTAAACAGGAGGAAGTGTTCTGCCCTTTTCAGGTGCCACAGTTTTGGCTTGACCCATTTCCTTTGTCTAGATTCCTATTCCCATTCTCTGGGCTGTTCTAAGCCCAGGCTTTCCTTCAAAGCTCAGCTGACTCCTCTGGGAAAAGCATTTCCTGATAGTTTGTAGCTTACAGTGAACTCCCTTCTCCTAACTCCCTACAGTGCAGTGCTATATACTAATAATGCAACATTCAGTATGTGTTGTCTTCTGTGGCTTCCTATCCTTTGATGCACGAAAATGTCTTTCCAATCAGCATTAAGCCCCTTGAGGGCAGGGAACTGGCCACATCTCCCCATTTCTCCAGTGCTGCCAGTCTTTTGGATGGAATGCCATTTCAGATCTGGACGTTCACCTGGCCCTACTGATTCATCTCACCGATGAAGCAACCAAGGCCCAGGAAGTTGTTCAGACCCACTCAGCAGAGAGCCACAGCCACAGGCAAACATCTACTAACGTCTATCGATCCCAGGAGTCGGTTTACACAGAGCGGCGGGATTCAGAAGGCGGGAAGGAGGGCGTTCTCTGAACAAAGGCGGTCGAGTGGAAACCGCCACGGCAGTCCACGCATGCTTGGACGAGGGCCTGGACCGAGATGGAAACAGTGAACGTGGAGAGGAAGATCTGTGCAAGAGGAAAGGCGCGCAGGTCCTGGTGGCGCCCCAACACGCATCCTGGGCGAGCTGGGAGCAGGTGCTCCAGCGGCCTGCCGGGGCGCGTGCAGTGGTGCCCGAGGGCCGTCCTCCGCCCAGCTCGCAAGCTCTCGGAAACGCTCGCAAGCCCAGATCCTTCCTTCCACGCTGCCACTCTCCAGCCTCGCCGCGCGCCTATTTGCAGGCGCGGGGCCCGAGGCGCGAGAGGGGCGGGCGCGGGCCAGCGCAGGGGCCACCCGCCCGGTGCCGAGGCTCTCCGTCCGGCGCGGCGAGCCGGGACCTGCCCCGGACAGGAATTTGCGGGCGAAGCAGGCGCTCGGGCCTTGGCCGCGGGCCCCGGAAAGAAGAACAGGGGGCTTT